ATAGAAAATAATAAGTGTTAGCAAGGGTGTGGAAGAACTAGATTCATATACACTGCTAGTGAAATTGGTACAACATGTTTAACAATATTTATAAAACTGAATATACACATAAGTCCTGACTCACAGATTCCACTCTCAGGTATGTGCCCAATGGAAATACACATATATACCCACCAACACACAGGTAGTAGAATGTGCTGATCAGCATCATTTGTTTTAGAATATGTCTGGTAATTATGCAAATGTTAATCAATGGTAGAATAGATGTAAATAAACTGTGATATAGTCACACAACAGAATATTCTTCCGTGATGAGAACAGATAGACACTACATGCAACAATGTGGATGAAATTGATGAACACAATGTTAAGCAAAAGATAGACACAAGAGTGTATCACTTTAAATAAAGTAAAACCTGGTAAAACTAAGCTATGTTCTTGGAAATCAGAATAGTGATTATCCTAAGGGGGTAAGAGATTGGAGGGAAGCATGGGGAGGGCCCTCTAAAGTTTTTATAATGTTTTATTTCTTGATCTGGATCCTGGTTACATAGATGTGTCCAGGTTGTGACATGTGCACTTTCCAGTGTGTGTATTAAACTTCAATTAAAAAAAGGTTTTTTAAGTATGATGAAATTTATAAATTTTTCATGCCACAATAGAACTTTCTAGAATTATATTTGCTATCCAGAATGAAACATACCACCAATGTTCAATTGGATTAAGTATTTTCCCTCCCTAGTGTCTTTACTAGCTTACTAATTCTGGAAGGCTAGGGAACTGAGTTAGGATTTAGGGACTAACTTCTACATGCATGGCATTGGATCATGTGTTTTTGGTATTCTCTAAATAGCCTATGTTCCTGCACTCCAATTGAGGCCCAGAGGACAGAGACCATTTTTCATTCTCTTTTGTCTCCCCACCCCATCTCTTCCTCAATGCCCAGCTGCCCTGAGGATTCTTCAGAGGACATAGTTTCAGGCTGGAGAGGATTCCTTACTTCTCTAACTCTGTCACAGAACAAGCTCTGAGATAGGATGCCTTTCTTTTATGAAGCAAGAATTTATTATGTACCTGTTATTACCTCAGTTTACCTTCACATTCTCAAACCTATGCCCATTTTATGGAGGAGAAAACTGGGAAGCATCACTCAAAAGGCAACATCCTTCAGAAGTGACAAGCTGGTCACAGGATTCAGTTGGCTCCATGACCACACCATACTGCCTGGTGTTTTCTAGAGAAGCCTCACTCTGCAATTTTAGTTTCCAAAAGCAGCCACCTTCTTTCTGCAAGTAACAACCTGGGCTGGCTGGCCATCCCTGACCGGCCGTGAGTTTTGATGTCCCTTCATTCCGCCCCAGGGCCTGGAGACAATCATTCAGAACTCCCCTACTAGAGGCTCTGGTTCTTCGCAGGTCCCAATGGGGCCCAAGACAGGGTCACCCCACTCTGAGCCTGCCTATTCCTTCTCTGCAGGAGAGGAAGGAAAACCCCAGAATTTTGCTGGCTTCTCTGTGGTGGACACGGAAGCTGCTCCTGCCTGATCAGTACCTGGGCGAGTCTGCTCCAGGTGCACGGGCCCTGCAGATGCTGTCAGAGCTGCCCATTTATAGACAATGGCCGGGTGCCCAAATTTTCCCCAGGCAGCCTGACTGCACGCTTCACCTCCCAGCCCGGCTGTGTGGAACTCTCCATCTGTATTGATCACACTGGCTTACCACTGCAGACAGAAAGCCGCTCTGTAATCTGCTGGGCAAGGCACAGCGCTACCCGGCATGGCGATTACAACTCAGCTCAGGGAAATGAGCCTCTGGTCTTGAGCTCAGCCCAGCAGCCTTTTTTTCCTCAGTGGAATTTTCCCCAGGCTTGTTCGGCGCAGACTCAGGGATAGCAAATTGACCACTCCTCAGTGCTCTGGTGCTGCCATGGAAATCAGTAAAAGCAGCCTCAAGGGCAGGGTCTAAACCAGCACATCTTGATGGAGAGCATGCACGCCCATTATCTCTGTGCTCAGGGTCCCCAAACTCCAATCTTTGGCCAACCTCCAATGACCATTTTCTGCACTTTATGCCTCCCTCACCCTTGGCAGAGAAATCGCTGCATGATCCCAGCAAGAGTGATGGAGTTGCAATGTGGCCAGGACTTTAGAGGCCATCCGGTGCTCCTTTTACCAGTGAGAAAACAAGCCTAGAGAAGTTAACTGACTTGCCCAAGGTCACACAGCCGTGCAGGTAGAAGTTGTATGAAAAGAATACAGGCCTTCTGATTTGATGATCACCTCCCCCTCCCCCACAGCATTCTAGGCTGTTTTTCTTTCTTTACTTAAGGGACTCCTCTAAGCCCTGCACAGTTTTGGGCTACAGATTCAGGAGAGCCTAGAGATGATCACTTTCCTTTGGGGAGGCCAGAGAGATTTGTGAGGGGACCCACCAGGAATGACAGTGCTAAAGGAGAGCACACCCCAGGGCCCAGGTGGCTCACAGAAAAGTAGGCAGAAGGTGAGCATTGTTTGGGCCACAGCAGGGAAGAGTGAGGGGAACACATGTATGCACTAAGTCAGTGTCAGCTGCCCTCAAGCATCCGAATGTCCCAGGAGGGGCAGCAAATGCCTGCTTCCCCTGGCAATATTGACACTCGGACCAGTGACTGTCAGGTAATTCCTGTGCTCTGTTCACTGCATCAGTTGAAACCGAAAATGCATCACCCTCCAGGAGGGTTGGCATGGAGGACATCTGAGGCGGTGAAGGCAGGCGTCAGGTTGGTCACCTCCAGTATATTCAGAGATGATCAGAGGAGGGTCGCACAATGGCTGGATGTCCCCAGCCGGCAGCCTCTGCAATTCTCTCCTCTCTTCCCATCCCCAACTTTCTGTTCCCTGCTTTGGGCCAGTTTTCCCCCTCTCCCTCTCCACCCCATCTAGACTTTCCAGGCCTGTGTCCCACTTTCCGAAGGACCTGCCTATGAGGTAACTGGCTAGAGAATTGGGCCGATGTAGAAGGATGGCCGTGGTGGCTGGTGATTTTCACAGTTTGCCTATCCTTGGATAACTTCCCAAATCTACATCGATGTGCCAAGTCCGGGCCAGTCTCCATGCCTCCGTGGGCCTCTGTTTCCACATCTGAAGCTCTGGGTCTTTTTAAGCAAGAGCAACCATGCCTCCCATGAAGATGGTGCTATTACTTTTTTAAAAAATGTTCTTGTCTTAAAAAATGTTTGTGGGGCGCCTGGGTGGCTCAGTCGGTTAAGCGGCCGACTTCAGCTCAGGTCACGATCTCACACTCCGTGAGTTCGAGCCCCGCGTCGGGCTCTGTGCTGACCGCTCAGAGCCTGGAGCCTGTTTCAGATTCTGTGTCTCCCTCTCTCTGACCCTCCCCCATTCATGCTCTGTCTCCCTCTGTCTCAAAAATAAATAAACATTAAAAAAAAATGTTTGTGCTATGAATTCAGACAGCACAGACCTGAGCTCCAGTTTTGCCCCATCTTCACAGCCTGCCCTCCAATCCTCAGTGTCCCCATCTGTATTATGGGGTTGATAAAGTCAACCACATGGTTTGTTTGAAGGACTGAGTGAAATGATGCATGGGAAGTGCTCAGCCCAGTGTTATCCCAATAAATGTAACATGTTCACATATCCTCATCATTTATGAAGCAGGTAGGGCATATTCTAGCATCAAAATGATAGATGCATAAATGGAACTCCAAGAAGTGACTCATCTAGAAGCAGAGGTTTCAGGGTCTGTGGACACCTCCCAATGCTACCTCCTCAGTATCTCTGTTTCTGATGAGCTATCTGCCACTCCTTGGAAGGTTTGGAAAATGCACAGTGGGTTCTCATTGCTCACACAGTCCTGACTGCATGCAAGAATCCCAGAGTAAAATCTGTGTGTCTGACATTCCTCGGGGTTTGCCCTCATGATTAATTTTATAGATGAAGAAATTAAGACCCAGAGATGTTGAGTGGCATACCTGGGGTCACACAGCTTATTCTCCCCTCACTCCCACCTCCATCTCTGTGCCCGGAGATGCTGTCCCTTCTCCTGATTCAAGGTTCGATCTAGGTTGTCCTTACTTTGCCCATTCACAGATCCTGGAGAGGGAACTCAGGGGTCTTGTAGTCCAGGACCTTCTGGGCACAAGAAGGCCCTCCTGAGCAATGCCTGACCCAGCCCCCTCGCACCCTATCCCAAGTTGGTGGGATTCCAAGGTCACACTTTGCTCCTATCTTCCACGTAGCTGCAGTTGTCCAGTGGCTGTTCCTCTGCTCAGGCCAAAATGTGTCTGTCAACTCCACCCAGTAGGCCTGGGGTTAGGAAGAGGCCCCAGAGAGGGCCATAGCACAGCAGGTGAGACCAGGGACCCAGCTCATCCTGGGGGGCACACAGCCCAGTGAGCTACCACCAATCTGCAGGGACAATGAGCCCAAAAGTCACTTCTGCAGGGGGCAAAGCCTGACCTTCTCTCGTGGCTCCAGTGGGGCCAGAAGCACAGCCAGTTCCCCTCATCTGCCATCTGTGTCTGCTGTGCTGACTTCACTCTCAGGTTGCAAGGACAGTTGAGTAGATGCCATCAGAGAACACAACTCCTGAAGGAGCAGCGTCTGGGAGGGGATGGAGTTCACGTTCACAGGTGTTTGATGCTCATCCTTATTAAACCCAGGCCAGAGAACTTATTCCTGGTCAGCACATGTCCTGGCCTCAGAGGGGAGGAAGGCAAGTGGGCAGCAACCCTTGAGAGGGTTTTCCTCTTGGGATAATATTCAAGGCTGGATGAAGAGAGGGTGGTTGGCCCTGCCTTCCACAATGTTAGGGCTACTTAGGGGTCCAACTCCAGTTTTTAGGAAGGAAACACAAATATTTTCAGGCTTCAAGTGAAGCAAAGCATGTGCCTTGTCTCAGAGGAATCCAGTCACAACCTTCAAACAGGCTCACAGTGCTCCCCCCAGGACACTCCCCAGCTCTTATCCCTCTCCACAGCCCACACCCCCCAGGTTGGGCCTCACAGTCAGGAAGAGCTCAAAATTCCAAGCTGTTATTATGACCCCACAGGGGAACTCTGACATCCCTGTGAGCCAACACTGTGCATGGGGAAACAGGGCTATGACTGAAGCAACATTTGGGCCTAGAAACTCACTGCTGCTGGGCTCGGAAGCCCAGGGATCTGGCAGGTCTGAGCACAACAGCAGCTCAGGCCCGTCTGTGCGTCCTGAGCTGCCCTGTCCCTCAGCTCTCTGTAAGTGCTTGGGGATGGCAGGGAAAGTTGGGCCCTAGTGGGGAGTCCCTCCCAAACAGTGGGCACGATGAGGCCTCTGGGTGTGACCTGAGAGCCCATTTGACCACCAAGCATCCTGCATCCCACTGTCCTCAGCTGTTTCAGCAGATCAGCTGTGCTCATTCCAGGTCTTTAAGTTTATCTCTCTCTTTTTTTTTTTTTTTTTTTTTTTGGCTCCCTCTGAGAGGCAAATGTTCTAACAAAGATGTGAGATACTGGAACAAGGCATTAATTTCAATAGTCACACTTAAAAGCAATTGCTTGGGAAATATCTCATTTTCCCATTAAATGCTGCACAGCCAAAACCTCAGGTGATTCTCTTCCCTTCCTCTCCCTGGCCCCTTCCACCTCCATGCGCTAACCCCCCTTCCCCTCTGCCAACAGCTCACAACCAGCAGATCATTTCCCAGTCCTGTCCTAAAATTATATCCTGAGTACATAAATGATTCCATTTGGCTAATAAGCAACCTCTAGACAGCAAATGCCTGACAGGTGACTTACCCTAAAGAAATCATCCTGGAGGGGCTTCCTCCCAAGGTGGGTGTCTTCTTAGGAGCACAGAGCAGGTGGCTAATCATGTTAGCAGCTTTGTGAACACTCCATTCTTGGTGCAGGGGGACTGGCAGGCACACAGGGGCCTGGAGAGGGGGCAGCCTGCCCTCTGAGGTCTCTCCTTGCTAATGAGACATGGATGATGTAAAGAATGCATTTCCAGGTCTTCCCTGGCCTTCCACTAGACAAAAGTCTGAAGAGGCGTGTCTTTCAAGACCTGTCTCAGGGGAAGCTGTGATCCAGGTGGGGCTGAGCCTGACAGACGTAGTGGATGATTTGAAAAATTGATTGTGGTCTTTCACTGCAAAACCGGGAGAGAAGTCCTGGCTGCCTCCCTTCCTCCCCATCTGAAGGCCCTGGGGCCTGACTGAGACAGAGCTAGAGGCTGGAAAAGGAGAGTCTTGGCCTGTCCCCCATTTTCCCAGTCTCCCCATGCCCCTGACCCCCAACCCCCTCCTTGTCTTCCAACTACAGGTTCTTCTCTCTGGTTCCATTACTGCAGGGCCCCACTCTAAGATGCCATCTAATGTAATCTCTCTCTAAGGGAGACCCACAAAACACACCTGCCCCCTCTTTCACAGAGATTCTGATTATTATTATTATTAAAAATAAGAGTTGACTATATGTGACAGACTTCCGCAGGCTCAGTTCCAACTGTCAATTTCATTGACAGTTTACAGAAGAACTGAGGCCCAGAGAAGCTCAGTCATGTCCCCTGAAGTCACACTGCTGTGTTCTGAGGATTTGAGCCCAGATTCTCTTGGTTCTGGGGTCTGAATACAGATTGCATGGCAGCACTCTCCATCTAGCCTGCAAAACTCAAGGAAATTCATCTCCAGTGAGGGAGTTTCGAGTCCCGGCAGTGAGGAGCTCTCTGGAGCAGGGTACTGACCCCATAGACTTCATATGGCTTCACAGCTGCTGGCACCTGCAGCCTCTCCTCCCTGAGTAAGAGAGGAGCATGGAAAACAGTATGGCAGGTCCTCAAAAAATTCAAAATAGAGCTACCATGAGATTCATCAATCCCACTTCTAGGTATGTATCAAGGGAAACAAAATCAAGTTCTCAAAGAGATATCTGCACCTCCCTGTTCATTGCAGCATTATTTATGACAGCCAACATATGGGAACAACCCAAGTGCCCTTCAAGAGATGAATGGATAAAGAAAATGTGGTCTATACGTACAATGGAACATAACTCAACCTTTAAAAAAAAGGAAATCCTACCCTTTGCGAAAACATAGAAGAACCTGGAGGACATTGTACTAAGTGAAGTAAGACAGACACAGAAAGAGAAATACTGCATGATACTTTAATGTATGTGGAATCTAAAATAGTCAAACTCACAGGAGCAGAGAGTAGAATGGTGGTTGCCAGGGGCTGGGGGATGGGGGCACATGGGAAGATATTGTTCATAGCCAAATACAAAATTACAGTTATACAGGAGGAGCTAGTTCTGGGGATTTAACGTACAACATGGTGGGGTGCCTGGGTGGCATATTCAGTTAAGCATCCAACTCTTGATTTCAGCTCGGGTCATGATCTCATAGTTCATGGGATCGAGCCCCATGTCAGTCTCTGTACTGAGTATGGAGCCTGCTTGGGATTCTCTCTCTCTTCTCCTCTCCAGCTCTCTCTCACTCTCTCTCTCTCTCTCTCTCTCTCTCAAAATAAATAAATAAATAAATATTTTTAAAAAATAAAGTACAACATGGTGACTCTGGTTAAGAATATATATTATACTTGAAATTTGCTAAGAGGGTAGATCTTAAGTGTTCTCACCAAAAGAAAAAAAGGAAGAAGGAAAATGGTAATTAATCAAAGTGATAGATTGGTTAATTAGTTTGATTGAGGTGCTCCTTTCACAATGTATGCGTATATGAAAACATCAAACTGGGGGCGCCTGGGTGGCTCAGTTGGCTCAGGTCATGATCTCACAGCTCGTGAGTTTGAGCCCTACATCAGGGTCTGCACTGGCAGCTCAGAGCCTGGAGCCTGCTTTGGGTTCTGTCTCTCTCTCTCTCTTTCTGCCCCTCCCCTGCTTATGTTCTCTCTTTAAAAAATAAACTTAAAAAAAGAAAGAAAACTTCAAACAGTATACCTTGAATATATACAATTTTTATCAATTATACCTTAATAAATGTGGGGTGAAAGGAGAGACAGACCAGGAGCCACCAGCTCTGCATACAATTATGAGTCTCATCTTACTGATTCCCACCTTAGGGAGAGAAGCTGAGGCTCAGAGAGGCTGAATCAATTGATAAGGTCACATAGATTTAAGGTCTCTTCTCTTCTCTAGGCAATGGGCTTTAAGGCTGTCGTTCTCTTCTTCCCTGTAATTTGATGGCTCTGAGTTGCCCTTCTTGGGCTTTGGTGCAGCTGAGCTCTTGCATCAGCCTGCATATACATGTGCACTTAGAGACGTGAATGCTGTAATTTCCTTGTTCACGCACAGTCTATCCCAGGGCTGGGGGGGTGAGACGGCAAGAGAAGGGGTCTTGAGGGTCAAGACCATGTGGGAAGGCTGGGCCACTGAACCCAGAGTGTGGCTCAAGTCAGCCAGCCCGGCTCCTGAAGCCACACACACATAGGAAGGTGTTATCCCATTTCAGGAGTTGCCCTGATGCCACAGGAGGCCACGCAGCTGTTGGAGGCTGCTCTGGTCTGTCTGGGGTCAGTCTAGCCAAGTTCTGGTCTTTCCTTCAGAGCAGAAAATCAAAGCACATTGAAGAAAACCCTGAGAAGGCTATTGTTTTCCCAACTTGAGTGCCTGGGGTGGAATTCTGGTCCGATGTTTGGAGGACTGACTTTTGTGAAGTAATGTGTCTGGGACAAGTGATGGTTCCTTCTCTTCCTACTGTCTGGTCTGCTCCTGCCAGACTCACCAGCACAGTGGAGAGAAAGAGCGATTGAGTTCTATGATCTAAGGGATCCCAGGTGCCCCAAGGCAGCCATAGAGCCACACCATTTGGAAAGCCCAGTTTTATGCTTTCCACAGCCTCCTGCTGCTGGTGCTTGAGGAGGATGACAAAGCAGCAGCAGCTCAGCCAGTCCAGGCCCAGGAAGCGTGGGGCGAGGTTCTCGGTGTAGGAGTGCGATCATAGGCTTGGACAACAGAGAGACCTGGTTCCATTGATATATTCCATGTAAACTTGGGCAAGTCTCAGCCTCTCCAAGCCTCAATTTCTTCACCCGTGCATTGGGGACAAGAGTGTCAATTCTTCAGGGCTAGTGTGAAAATTAAATGAGAATCTTAATAGAAGCCTAGAAATGTCAGCATCATAATGATGGTAGTCTATTACTGCCTACAACTCACATTTTCTCAGCACTGACTGCAGACCAAGCTCTGTGCTAAGCATTAAAATACCAATCAAATTTGGTATACCCAAATTTGGGTATACCCAAATACCAATCAAAACCATGATGAGATGCCACCTCATGCCTATCAGAATGGCTAAAATTAACAACACAAGAAACAACAGGTGTTGACCGGACGCAGAGAAAGGGAAGCCCTTTTGCACTGTTGGTGGAAATGCAAACTGGTGGAGCCACTCTGAACAGTGTGGGGGTTCCTCAGAAAGTTAAGAATAGAACTACCCTATGACCCAGCAATTGCACTACTAGATATTTACCCAAAGGATACAAAAAGTGGCAGATGCACCCCAATGTTTATAGCAGCATTATCAACAATAACCAAGCTATGGAGAGAACCCAAATGTCCATCAACTGATGAATGGATAAAGAAGATGTGGAATACATATACAATGGTATATTACTCAGCCATCAAAAAGAGTGTAAATTTTGTCATTTGCAATGATGTGGATGGAGCTAGAATGTATTATGCTAAACGAAATCAATCAATCAGAGAAAGACAAACACCATATGATTTCACTCATATGTGGAATTTAAGAAACAAAACAGATGAACATATGGGAAGAGGGACAAAAAGAGGAGAGAAGGAAACAAACCATAAAAGTCCTTTAATAATAGAGAACAAATTGAGGGTTGGTGGAGGGAGGTGGGCAGGGGATGCGCTAGTTGGGTGTTAAGTACGAAGGAAGTCACTTGTTACGCTGAGCACCAGGTGTAAGTGGTGAATTACATACACTGAATTCCACTCCTGAAACCAATATTTCACTGTATGTTAACTAACTAGAATTTACCTTAAAAATTTGAAAAAAAAATATTAACTGTCCCACATAGTCATCCTAAAAATCAAATGAGGTATGTATTATTACTATCCCCATTTTGTAGATGGGAAGACTAAGACTCCAAAAGGCTAAGTGGGCTTTCCAGAATCACTGCACATGTGTATGCAGACAGTAAGTCATAAGAAGCCAAAGTCATTGGATATCTACCTTTCTCTCCCACCATTATCACACAATCACTTAAGTGGTGGTTGTTCCTTTAACTGAATGAGCGCACCTGCTGTTTCCAAGTCTGTGGACCTTCCCACATCCATACCACACAGAGTTCTTCAGCTATGCCATGAAATAGGACATGCATTGTTTTTTATTTTCAAAATGAAGAAAGCGAGGCATTGCAGAGTTAAGTTACACACAGCTAGCAAGTGGCAGAGAGTAGAAGAAAACCAGCATTTATGAGCACTTACTCTATGCCAAGCGCTGTGATTATTTCAAGCTTCTGTTGTCGCCGATCTGCAGGGAAGCTTTGGGGGATGTTGGAATTTCCTTGACTTCTCATAACTACCCTGTGAAGAAAGTCTGATTGTTTATTTTCTTATGTTACAGACAAGGAAACTGAGGTCCAGAGCATTTAATTAGACTCCAAAGCTTGTTAACAAGGAAGGAGAGGGTTCCTTTCTGCTTTTTAGGGAATGTGTAGACAACCCCGATTCCCACCTGAGGACGAGATGGAGATGAGTTCTGTTCGTCCCACGTACTCCTGCCCACCCCCCAAATCCCACAGATCAGTTAGGGAAGGCTTTCGAGGCCCTGGCTTCCCAACAGAGTGAAGACATGGGTCAGAAAGGGCCGCTGCTTTTGTGGGTGGCCAGGGGGACCGAAATGCTGTGCTCCCCACTCCTGGATGCTTCCCCATCTCCTCCTCCCTATGTCCCCAGTAAACCCCGGGAGGACTGGAATGCTAGCAAGTATGGGAAACAGCCAGAAGCCATACATCCAGCCTCTGGTGATGCAAGGGTATCCTGCACTCTGATTGTGGTGGAAGTCATCTTTCCTAGACAGCCAGGCACAGCGCCACTGAAAAGATTGGTGTTGAGCAGTGTCTAGAAGGATCCTGAGGAACAGACAGACATAACTGCAGGTGAAAGCTGAGATCTATGGCAAGCCATCCTCTCTGGCCCCTGAGAGACCCGGGGGGTGGGCCCTTGTCATTATCTCCAACATTAGACCCCATCTTTTTGTTCGCTTCCAATATTGGTAACATAATTTGGGGCATACATCCAATATGGGAATGTTTATTGATTTGCAAATTCTATTAATGTGCCACTGAGCTAGTGAAGGCATCCCAAAGCAGACACCAATATTGATATTACAAGGGGATAATAAGAAACCCTAATTAGAATTTCTGATGCTTTCTCCCTGCACGTATGACAAGTCCCCCATGGTGTGGCCCCTCTGGCCTGGGAGCCACTGCTTTTAGACCTTGGTAGAGAGCCGGCTGGGGCCCTGGCAGGGCTTGGGCTTCAGGAGGCTGTTTAGTGAGGGCTTTGGAAGCACAGGCTTTGGAGGGAGTGGGTTTGGAGCCCATCTCTGCCTCTGAGGAGACATGTGGCCTAGGAATTGACCTTCCTCCTTGAAGCCTCTGTTTCCTCACTGCTGAATGAGGCAGACAACCCTCTTGTGCAGAGTTGATAAGGTGACAACCATGGGGCCTAGCACTGGGGAGGTACTGAAGTGGCCTGGGTACCTGGATATCAGTCCCAAGGATGAGGTCTAAGTTAGGAGGGACTGATGGCACAGGAGAGAAGTCCAAGGACCAAGGACCCACTCTGCTCTTGAGCTCATCCCCTCCCTTAAGCTGGGTGGGCCTCCACGGGGA